ACGTGATGCAAACTCCTATTGGTGAGATATATCGTGGTAAGGTACGTTCACAGAACTGTCGATTCCTTCACCCATCTGAAGCCATGAGAGCAGACTTTTCGAACAAAAACAAATTCCGAATGAATATGTAAGATGCCTGTGGCAGAAAATAATGAACGCGAAACACGAGTACATCCCACGACTGTACAGAATCAAGAGACTACTAAGGCACCGAGTTATCTCAGGCACCAGCTATTGAAACTGCTATTTCTATACAAAGATCTAATCGACTAAAGCGAAAGCCTCAACGACTCACAGAGAAATATCTAACCCATAACATTAGTCGTTCATAGATTGTAACTATAAACAAACAGAATAGAATTAAAAAGTGTAGCACTTCGTATAAATAAGAAAGTGCGGTAATATCCTATCTTAACCATCGGGATGTGATGTAATCTACGAATACTGAACAAGTATATTACTGAATTAGAGATGATATGTCTAGGAACTTTTTCCGTTTAATACCACAGCTCATGTCTTACAATACTACAGTAGTACGATATATGATATTCTTGGCATAAATAATAAGATAATTTTATGGCTAGGATATGACAATTGTGACAAACACCATATATATTCAGCGACTGCTCATTAAATACAGTACTGTACATGTAATGTTGAAATAAATTATCATTAATTGTCACCTTTATGACAATTTATCTACAGCTACTACGCTAAATGATAATTTATCCAAACACAACATCAGATAATTTCAAAATTAGTTTACGACAAATTATGACATCACTATATAAATTTCAGCTGTTATTCATGAAATATATGTAATATTCAGATAAATTATCATATTTTAGTAGCTGTAAAATTATCGGATATACTTTCGACTGTATTCCATACATGCTTTCATTTATCTTATTTTCATTTACTTTACTATTCTTATTTTGCACTTTACTACTCCTATTGCTTATGCCATCGACACTAATCCACACCATTAGATTCAGCTTTGGTACAGTACCGTATAAAATAAAATTTATTTATTCTATATTCTACTGTCACACACCACTAGAGACAAAGTAGTCTACACACGCCAATGCTTATGAAGAACGCCTCTTACTGACTTTAAGAGGCGAGATTAGCTGTATCACCAAATAATTTAGTTCCAACGACTGAATACTATAGTATAATTATAGCTTCACTGATAGTGTAGACGTGGTAGTCAGGGATTGACTACTATTTATTGCTGAAGAAATCTTGACAATCAAGATTATAGTCTTGACAATTTAATAGCAATTGACAAACTAATTGACTAACTAACAACTAACTAAAAACTGGTCCTCATTAGAACAAGCTTACGTATCGTAACATCTACGTACAGTAGAAAAAGACATTGTAGTTTTACTTCGTGAACAATCATATAATAGCTGTAAATTATCTGTTAATAGAGCTAGTTTACAGATAAATTGTTAAACAATTAGTTTACTTTACAGCTATTTTATAGCGATTGTATGAGGTAAAGTAAACAAGTTCAAGTATACGTACCCTCACACCGACTGTATACAATAAGCGAAGTATATCGTCAGCGGGTTCTACTAGTGTTCATGTGCTGTATTCTAGTCGTGGTAGAACATAGTTTATCGTCCACCAGCTATCATGCACAGCATGCAGCAGCTGAGTCAATAGCATTCCTATACAGCTAGATAAGTTAAAGTTAGTTTTCTGTATCCTAGGAATAGGATAAGTAAATATCTCTATGGTATATTGGAGTACTCTTAACAAGTCTTCATCTAGAAGTCACTCTTGACTGTTCTTCTCTCTTAATAAACTAGTCTAATATTATAAGCTACATTCGTGTGTCGTGTCATTACAGTACTAACACTAGGTAAACCCCTCCATTCTACGAATCGCTGGTGTACTGTACTGTACTGTACTGTACTGTACAGTAGAATGAGTAGATAGATAGATAGATACGCAATTACGAATACAGCAGTAATAATGATAGACTAGAAATTTCGTCATCGTCTAATCGTCTAATCGACACTATAATGGCTAAGCACTAGTTTAGCAGGTAAAGTCAGAGTAATATCCAAAACTAATAGAACTGATCAAAGCTGTTACTTTCAGTATACGCTTACACACAGTATACTGCACTATTAATATTCATTCAGTGAATCAATAACGGTATCATTTAATAATTGGAGCCAATGGCGACTGGACAGAAAAAGGAAACCTCTTATGGCTGGTTCAAGTCTACCTATCTCATGATCATTGGATTTTTCAGATTACTCAAATGTATTTTAACAATAAAGTACCACTACCCTACTATCGATAATCCCTATCATAATCCGAAAATGATGAAATCTGAATGTGAGAAAAATCTGCAAGGTCAAAAAATATCTACTTGGCATTTTCTAAGATCCAATCTTTTTAATAAGCAATCTCTTGTTCATCTTGGTGAAAAGTTCCCTTTCGCTACTGTAAACTTTCTTAAAGTTGGACAACAAGCTCCTAAAGGACGATTATTTACACTTGATCAGCAACAAACTGATTTACAAAACATTTTTAATCAAAGCGCCAAAAAAATTCATGTCTTAAACTTTGGATCCTATTCTTGACCTCCATTTCGATACGGAGTCGATCGCTTTATCGATCTGGCTGGTCGATTTAGTAATCGTGTTCAATTTAACACTATCTATATTATGGAAGCTCATGCCGCCGACGAATGGGCAATGCCATTAATGAATGAAAATCTTGGCGTATGCTTTCTTCAGCCTAAGAAATTAGAAGCTAGAATAAACATAGCTAAAGAATTTATTAATCGTTTCCAATTTCAATTACCGTTTTTTATCGATTGTATTGAAAATGAAACGATGAAAGCATACGACGCTGTACCAGAAAGATTATATGTAGTCGATGACGGAAAAATCGTTTATTCAGGCGGTCCAGGTCCGTTTGCTTATAGTGTAGATGACATGGAACAATTTTTAGAGAAATACGTTGTAGAAAAATAGAAATTATTATAAGATTCGGATAAACTATACAGATAATTCAAATGTTTATGAAAGTCATTTATAAGAAATAACTAGATACTGTAAAATAGAATTACATAGAAACTTAAACGTGTAGCTCAGTATTAATCTTTTTCAGCTTCCAGTCTTTAATATTATTAGAAGAAATGAATATAGATCAGCTCGTTAACTGACTGAGAATAACCCTAATTACGGTTTATAGCAGGTTGAAGAGACCTTGACCCACTTTCTATCTTACAACGGATATAATTGCTTGACACGATTGTACAACTAAAGTAAAGATTAAATTGTTATCCTCTTAGCCCCCTGATACAGTAATAGTTTTTAATTTAGGGTTAGCTTTGAAACCGAGATACACTCGTAAACGTGTTAATGAAATAGATAGATTACGTTAATATGATATAATGAAGTTATTTGCTTAAAACCGACTTGGATTGGATTGCAATAACCGATAATCTACTAGTCATGTATACGATATCTATCTCAGCATACAAGTTTATGTTGCTTTATTCAAAATTAATAGTTATTCCAGTTATATTAACGAATTAATAAAGATCTATAATTGATAAATTTAAAAATTCTTTGGATTATTCTTTAGCACTATTACTATCGTGTTGCAAAGCAAACTAACCGTACTTGTATATAGTCAGCAAATAAAGATGCTTTTAAAAGATTTTGCATAGCTGTAGAGTATACTAAAGTAATTCTGCTATAGTACGGTAATGCTAAAGTAAGAAGTACACGCAATTCTAGTATTTCAAAATACTGTAGTTTGTAGAGCTAGTGACCCATTCATTATATTATATTAGTATGTCCCTAGCTCGCTATTATTGAAGTCAGACATTTTGCACGATATCGTATACTTATGATTAAAACATACTAAACGGAAGGACAGCAGGATGAGGGATGTCATCATTTCAGGTCCAGATTATAGGCCTAATTGATTTCTTTGAAATTGAAACGACTGAGTTATGCCTTAAAATAGAGTACGGTAGATCGATTTCATTTCAAACTATGAACTAAACCCAGTGCTAGTACTAGCTAAACCCCTCCTTTTTACGATGCGCTGCTTTGGTAAAGAAAGATTCGATTTTGGTAAGCTTACTAGTGCATCAAAGTCTATCGTGCCCACGTTAACGACTAATAATGGTGGAAACACAACGGGAAGTAGTGAAGAAAAAAAAGAAGAATATTGGTATCGCTTATGTTGGGGTCTCTGGCTGGCTCGATGTCGACTCAGGAGTCCAAAAACCAGCCTCAGCACGGTGGTACTGTCTGAGATACGAGACATACGGCACGACGGACGGCGTGCTACAGAACATGTTGGTAAAAGTCTTACTAGAAATTCTGTATATCAACTATTATTATAAGAAATCTAGTTTGTACCGTATGGTAATAGACCCACAGTTATGATACTACGCCGATTTGTTTACTAACTATTAAGTAAGTAGAATATTTCACTATCAGTATACTCACTATATATATATAAATCTATCTTATACTATATATACCGTAGATAGATACGGATACAGCAGTAATAATGAACAACTAGAAATTTGGCCATCGTCTAATCGACACTGTAATGGCTAAGCACTAGTTTAGCAGGTAAAGTCAGAGTAATATCCAAAACTAATAGAACTGATCAAAGCTGTTACTTTCAGTATACTGTACGCTTACACACAGTATATTGCACTATTAATATTCATTTAGTATACCAATAACGGTATCATTTAATAATTGGAGCCAATGACGACTGGACAGAAAAAGGAAACCTCCTATGGCTGGTTCAAGTCTACCTATCTCATGATCATTGGATTTTTCAGATTACTCAAATATGCTTTGACAATAAAGTACCACTACCCTACTATCGATAATCCTTATTATAATCCGAAAAAGATAAAATCTGCATGTGAGAAAGATTTGCAAGGCCGAAAAATATCTACTTGGCATTTTCTAAGATCCAATACTCTTAATAAGCAATCTCTTGTTCATCTTGGTGAAAAGTTCCCTTTCGCTACTGTAAACTTTCTTAAAGTTGGACAACAAGCTCCTAAAGGACGATTATTTACGCTTGATCAACAACAAACTGATTTACAAAACATCTTTAATCAAAGCGCCAAAAAAATTCATGTCTTAAACTTCGGATCCTATTCTTGACCTCCATTTCGATATGGAATCGATCGCTTTATCGATCTGGCTGGTCGATTTAGTAATCGTGTTCAATTTAACACTATTTATGTTAAGGAAGCCCATGCTGCCGATGAATGGGCAATGCCATTAATGAATGAAAATCTTGGCGTATGCTTTCTTCAGCCTAAGAAATTAGAAGCTAGAATAAACATAGCTAAAGAATTTATTAATCGTTTCCAATTTCAATTACCGTTTTTCGTCGATTGTATTGAAAATGACACGATGAAAGCATACGACGCTGTACCAGAAAGATTATATGTAGTCGATGACGGAAAAATCGTTTATTCAGGCGGTCCAGGTCCATTTGCTTATAGTGTAGATGATATGGAACAATTTTTAGAGAAATACGTCGTAGAAGGACAGAAATCGTCGTAAGATTCGGATAAACTCTACGGATAATTTAAATACTTATACGAGTCATTTAAGACACGATTAAATACTATGGAATGCAATTCGATAGAAACTTAAAATCCTAGCTCGATATTAGTCTTTCAATGTTATTCTACTTTTTTTTAAATTAATATCTTGTAGCCATGAGCTACAAGGCTAACATGAGAACTAAATTGCATTTATATCAGTAATTACGGAATTACTTTAAATTTTGTAGTATCAGAATGGAGAAGTATTCGTAGACTTCTTAATGACAGATACGTTTACAGAACTTAAATGAAGTTTTTACTTGAGACCAAGTTTGATTGAATTGTAACAACTGATGATCTATTATTTTAATCCTGTATATTTATCTATCTCAACATAGTAATCTACGTATACTACTCCATCTAGCGAACTAAATATAACTACTCTTGTCTAAGTAAGGATATAGATAAACTGTAATTGATTAAATGTCAAAATATTTATAGGGTATACTGTATTACCTTTATTTATCATAATCCTGTCGTAAATCTAATTTTCAAAGTAATCCACAAATAAAGATATCGTCGAGAAATCTCTTTAAAAGAGTTTAGTTCATTGGAGTATTTACCAAATAGTCTGGTTTCGACTTTAAAGTTTTAAGGTTAATGACTGACTACATAGTGGTTATATATACACGTATGCGAGTATCCATGTAGACATACAACTATATTAGGAAGAATTAAGTTACAGAAAGACTTTATGCACTATAACGTAATCAATATTTTTTAATTTTCATGTCTAGTAACTACCAGATCTTAATAGCATATAAAGACTTTTCAGCTATTTAGAACTTTCTAGTTGCTTAGATACTGTATAGTGCGTAACATGGAGATATTGAAGAGAAGTATTAAGGGACTTGGGAGAGATTCGTACTATAGATGTAGAGTCTTGCAGAACTAGGACTGAAAAAGATGATAAATGGTAATTACTGTACTAAGTTTTTCTGCTATCTAGTCTTTCTAAACTAGGAAAATATCATTGTATTCCTGAGGTCTTTCCTTTAAGCATTACTAGATTTCCCATTGTTTATGTCCGTCTTATAATTCACTTGCGGTAGATGTACAGTGCCACGAATCTACAGACAGTACTAAGTTACTAGTAAGTATTTGCACCTCTATTTGTATAATCTACTCTACTCTAATCTTATTTAATTTATATTATAAAGATTAATAAACATTATGTAATACAGTATAGTCTATCCTAGACTAAAAGTCGTTCAAAATTATAAATTTATTTTATCCTAATTCTAAATCTTAAATAACCGATGTAAGTATATTCGTTCATGTTTTCGAAACATACACTACTTTAAATGAAGCGTTAGCTAAAATACGTTTTCCCTGTTTGCTTATTCTTCATCGGTACTATAAATAAAGATATTTAAAATTAAATAAATCGATATTTTACAAGCACTATTCGAACCCGCTCGCATGGAAGCGAGCGTCCACGATTCCACAATCCTTCACTGAAACTTATAATATATACCCTTCCTCTTACTATTGCACTAAATAAATTTCAAATGGTACAGCTTTGCAATTTGGGATATACACATAATTTTATTGGTATCGTCGTAACATTTTGTTGTATTTTAACTTCAATGAATTGAATTTACACGTAGTTGTATTTTTAAACATGATCTGTCGAATTTTCTTTTCACTTTAACGAAAAAGAGTAGTTCACAAGATTTCTGCCGTCATACGGAATCTAGAGTAATCACATCAAATTTACTACAAGCTTAGCTATGTTACTTTTAGCATTGTAACTTGTCAATATTTACGAAATCATTTTATGTAAATCGACTGTCGATAACAATATTTTCTCATTGCTTATTAAATTGTTGTAATGCAAATAGATAATAACTCGCCTGAAGGAATTTTTGTTGGTATCTTTATTACCACTCGTTGCAAGGGTGACATTGATAACAAGCTATGACTAACTAAAAATACAATACGTGTCAATAGCTGAAAAGAATTTCATTCAATAGATCATTAGATATCTGTAATTGCATTTTAACTCGCTAAAAGCAATGTAAGCCAGCGTGTTGGGTAAAGATAGACATATATACGTATGTACATGATTAATTGATCTTCGGTTATTACAATCCAATTCCAGTTTGGTTTTAAGTAAATAACTTCATTATATCACGTAAAAGCTATCTAATCACCAACAAAGCCACGAATGCATAATGTGCATTGCATTGCACATCCATTAGTACGTTACAAGATATAAATTTTAAAATAATAATTAATAGTTATTTTCCTGTGCGTAATACGCTTTAAATACAATTTCTTGTTTCGTCATACAGCTCAACATTGTACGACAACCCTGGAATTTCTTAAGGCCATCACTATTTAGTTACTGAAGTTGAAAGGACAATTCAACCAAGCCTGTAATGTATATGCTATCTATTGCAATTAGTGGTAACTCGAATGACACATATAAATATTTAAATTATCCGTAGAGTTTATCCGAATCTTACGACGATTTCTGTCCTTCTACGACGTATTTCTCTAAAAATTGTTCCATGTCATCTAGGCTATAAGCAAATGGACCTGGACCGCCTGAATAAACGATTTTTCCATCATCGACTACATATAATCGTTCTGGTACAGCGTCGTATGCTTTCATCGTTTCATTTTCAATACAATCGATAAAAAACGGTAATTGAAATTGGAAACGATTAATAAATTCTTTAGCTATGTTTATTCTAGCTTCTAATTTCTTAGGCTGAAGAAAGCATACGCCAAGATTTTCATTCGTTACTGGTAGTGCCCATTCATCGGCGGCATGAGCTTCCTTAATATAAATAGTGTTAAATTGAACACGATTACTAAATCGACCAGCCAGATCGATAAAGCGATCGATTTCATATCGAAATGGAGGTCAAGAATAGGATCCGAAGTTTAAGACATGAATTTTTTTGGCGCTTTGATTAAAAATGTTTTGTAAATCAGTTTGTTGCTGATCAAGTGTAAATAATCGTCCTTTAGGAGCTTGTTGTCCAACTTTAAGAAAGTTTATTGAGGCAAAATTAAACCTTTCTCCAAGAAAGAGAAGATTTTGCTTATTTAAAAAATTGGATCTTAAATAAGACCATAAGGTTACTTTTTGATCTTGCAAGTTTTTTCGCACGATAGGTCTCATCCGTTTCTGAAGATGGCTTGTAGAAGCAGGATAGTAATACCTTAATATTAAAAAGTATTTGATAAGTTTGAATAATCCATACATCATGAAATATGCAGACATGAACCAGCCAAGGCTGGTTTCCTTTTTCTGATGCATTGCCATTTACCCCCAATGGATTAAGAACTACAGTATTCTGAATATTGAAGGCGAGCTTGGGCAGAGTTGGGTGTGCTACCGTGTACTGTACACAAGTGTTATGTTGGTGGTAAGCGGGAGTAGGCTTGATGAGCAAATACTATACTACATCGATGTATAACAACAAGTAGTTAATTCTCCATTTCTTTTTGACGGCTTTTAGTGTCTACTAGACTGTTGTTACGATGTACTGTAGGTCTTGCGATTGCTAATCATTCGTAGAATTATTAGGAATTATTAGCTATATGCAAAGTCGACTATAGCCCAAGATATTTCTGGGGTTGATGTTTACGCTTTACAGTCAGAAATATTTTTGATGATGACGTACAGTACTGTTACTATATACCTGCCACTGGTATGTGCACTTGCGCAATCGTTGTCGTTATCCAACTTAACTGCAACATTTGCAATCAGTCAGATATGGCTCCAGATCAGCTGCTACAGAGCGTTGCAATCGGATGACCTGATTGGCTTCAGTTGAACCAGGCTAACTGTTGCTTAACCTTAATATTACTGTAAACTAGAGTTGCCCATAACTAGTCCTGTGACCAATGATATTGTTCATGAGGTCAATCTGAGCGATGAATTTATTGAAAATGATGTCGCCATTCCATGCCTCAAGTAGTGCCCACAGCTCAGCAGTGAACCGCCACGGGTGACATCATCTTTTTAGTGGACAGGCTACACCGTATAGTACCGTACTGTACAGTTCAAGCAGAGTACTGTGCGCAGTCTCATCTTTCTTTCTTTTAGTACTGACTCTCTACAATACAGTACAGTACGGTGGGCCAACACGTAGTACGGTATGGGCTGTATCCACCAAAAAGAATGTCACCCGTGACAACGCCCTTGCAGCTGAAGGCAGTACTCTCGGCGCGCCATAGTGACATCATTTTCCCTAATTAGCCAATAACCCGATCTCCAGGTGACATCATTTCTGCGATCGGCCATACCATCCTGTGCCAAGCTTAGCACATGGCATGACAACGTCAGCATAGAATACTATACAGTAGGCTGTCAGAGTGTACCATAGCGTGTCCACTTGTACGGATAGCAAGGTATATAAAGCACCGCAATGATCCGTCGTGCGCAAAATCTTGTCCTTCCTTAGCACTGGGTCAAGCGGCGTTTCTTCTTTCTGCCATTGCTTTCCTTGTCCAATTGCTACTAATCGCTTTAAACTTGATGGCTCCTAAACATAAGCTACTCACATGCTGTGATAGAGCACAAATTATGGCATTTGATGAAGCTGGCTGGACTCGACAGAAGATCGCTGATCGAATGGAAGTTAGTAAACGCACTATTCAACGGATTGTCAAACGCTTTCAAGGCCAGCGTTCCTTTAAAATTCAAAAATTCAAGACGGGTAGGAAACGCAAAACCACCCCCGAGGAGGACGATTTGATCCTGGAAGCGGTGAAAGAGTCACCATTTAAAGCTAGTGGGGAATTAGCAGCGATGTTAAAGGATAAAACAGGCAAAACTTTACATCCCAGCACCATCAGGCGACGACTTATTAAAAATTCCAATGCCAATTCCAATGCCAATAAGAAGTAACACAATGTCACGCGAAACGTCTGGCGGTGAAAAGCTTTCAACCCTTACCCCCGTGTTCAGTACATCGACGGTATAGCATACTATTGTACTCACTTCTACTGTGCAACCGGTATGACCAACTGGTGTCGTGGACATTTCAATATGCACCGGACGTCTTCACAAGCAATTGATAATCATGATGCAAATTCAATCCATATGTAAACTAAAGCAAAATTAGTTATTTGTGTGAATAGTCTATTTTATTGCCGTTGTAATTTCCTACTTTTAACCCATTTCTTGTCACTCGCTTCACATCTACCCATCTTTGTAAACCTGGTTGCAAGCTGATGAGGTGAAAAAGATGGGCTGGATTGCTCACAGGGCGAGCTCCAAATGATTCTACTGGTTGAAATGCGATATTATCGTCAACGTTGTTAGTGTCAATTTGAGTATTATTTATAACTCTTTCTATCGTTATTCAATACTATTGCATAAACTCTAGTCCATTACAATTCCAATTGGAACTAATGACAACTCCTAGCAAAAATTTCAAATCATCCATGAATAGTTCACGTCTATGTAGTGTAATAGTAAATGGGATTTCTTATTCAATAATTTAACCACGTCTTATGAATTAATGAATTAATTAACCTACAATCATACATGATTATATAGAAAATGCAGCTTCCATCGACCGATTAATTCATAATTATTTATGCTTCGTGGTGATAACTTTGAATTACAAAAGATTCACTTCTTCAACTTTGGATCGTACTCTTGACCACCATGGCCATGAAAACTGAATCACTTTGTCGATCTTGCATCACGACTTAATTATCATCATCAATGAAATATTTTTTATATTAACGAAGCTAATATACAGATGATCAATGGTCACTGCTAGCAATTAATCTCAGTCTCTTCTTTATTCAGTCCGAAAGATTAGATGTTAGAATAAAAATAGGCTCCAAAAAATTTTGATCCATTATTTCTAATTTTAATTACGGTGTTTGCCTATTCGCGTGCAAATGGCGTCATCAACTGGTCGATGCTGTACTGCCGAAATGATACATATACAGTATAGAATTGAAACTTTTATTTTGGTAATCCAGGTCCATTGACTTACACAGTCTAGGTGACAGGAAACGATTCATGAACAAGTCGCACAAGGACAAAAATCATCCAAATTGCAACGTCTTGTCTGCCATGCCAAAATCGATCATTTCACTTAATACTGTGAAAACGAAATTGATTCCAATCATACTGGTAAAGACAGGCAAGCTTCGAGCGTTGTCTTTTAATTTCAATTGATCAATGAGATTAATCTAAAAATATTCTAGGATTGTCAAATTGCTGCAAGGCAAACCAAAAAAAAAGGATTACATTACAAGTATATTGTATACAGGAAATAGCACCCATCTTTTTATACTAGACGATCTAATTGTAGAATAATAATAATTGCGTAATGGAATGTCATTATCAATTTGTAGACTGAATTTGCTGATGTAGATAGTTCTACATGATATAATGAAGTTATTAACTCGAGATCAAACTCGATTGGATTGTAGTAACGGATAGTCTAGTAATCGTGTATACCTGACTATCTCATCATGTTGGCCTACAGTGTGTAGTTTAATGATTAAATACAACTACGGATAGTTATCATAATTAAAATACATTCAATAAAGTTCTTAAACTATTTATGTTATGTTTTAGCCATACCACGACCATGTTGTAAATTCAACCTAATCTTTAAAAATGAATAGCAAATAAAGTTACCTTGAAAAAGTTATTTCCTATAATTTTTGATTTGCATTTACATATAATGGCTTGGTTTTGATTACAAAATTAGAATCCTAAAAAAATCCAGCTATAATTAAAATTAGGACACACTACTATTCGTAAAATTTCATAAATACTACAGTATTTATTAGCAGCGAAGCAACATTGCAGTAAGTTATGCACTACAGTACTTGAGAAAATCAAGTTAGAGTGGTATAAAATAAAAATAAATATGCAAAATTGCGAGGAAATTAGTACTGTAGTGTTATGCATATGTTTACACTGTACTGTATACGCCTGTATCATATCAGGGACTACTCTATAAAAAAAGTCAAAATCTTGCTAATGCATCATAACTACTAAACGGATTTATCTTTTTAAAGGATACAAGCAAGACAGTAGTAGACTAAAGTATAAACCAAATCCAAGGTTTCGTATAGCTCTCAACGGAGATAGAGCAATAGATTGTTATAGTAAAAGCTCTTCACTGATAAACATAAATATTAATTCAATCATTTATATATATATGAGTATATACATATTCGTTTTATACCATCTCCAGAAATGTATTATAGTCCAGCGTTAGGAAGATGTGAAAATAAAGGAAATTTAACGATAAATAATCATTAGATGACCAGTTCTATGTACATAATTACCATAGGCAAGCGGCCTAACCTACCGTAGCGTTTAAGCTACAGTAGTAGCAGGCTTGGTTAGATGATATAATCGATAGTAATGATTATTCAATTCCAGCTACTGTGCGATTTTAACTTCATACCTTCTCTTTATATGTAGTATACTACTGTAATACTAGTGCATCAATGATCCCCATTTAGAAATGTATAGGTGGAACGATGTAATTTAAATTTAACAGAAATATCTACTAAAATCTTGTAGCTCCACATAACCTATTATCGCAATTATTATCTAAGTAATCATATATATCCCATTTCATAAAGTAATCAAGTTCATATGATACGATACTCATTAACATATTCTGAGGATGAATGACTGAGTTGAAAACAGCTTATTTCTAGGTTATAATCTGCCTTCGAAAATTTTAAAGAATATATCCAGTAATAATTTAATAAGCAAATGCTGAATCCTATTTTATAAAGGTATCCAACTGTATATACGTCAAGATGATAATATTATCAAAGTAAGCTAAAGCAATTTAGCGTATAATTAAATGGTTAGATTATGAAAACTATAACAACTGAGGTCACCTTAAAGGATATTAAAATGGTATCTTAATCGCAATTACAGAAATCCTGAATCATCATTATTATTTAGCTGACTTTCCATTAACTACCACTCTAAGTATACCTACGATAACCTAATTATATTCATTACATCCAATTTAGATTTGTACAAAGGTTATCTGGTGATTAATACATTCCTAAAAAAATGAATGATGGGAATGCTTTCATGAGAATTAGTAGATACCATTTACAGTTGAGATTTCCTTGCATTCGTTCTAAAATGCTATAAAAACAAACATGTAGCCTAGTTGTTGATTTAAGACTCATTACTGTACATGCATATACTCACATTAAACTATCCATAGAAAAGTATTCTAAATTAAACATCACTTCTCAAGTATAAAGTAATCCAAAATAACAAAGCAGCATTATTAATAAATGACCAATACAATACTCATCAATTAGACTGTTTATTGACAGAGAAACAGTTAAAATTTATTATCAATATTCATAACACGAGAAAGTTTCAATCATCAACATATCAATTCTCAACTATCTGTTGATAATACGTGAATATTAACACAGTACATAACATCAAAGTGGGGCAGCTGTAATAATACAAATTGCTTATTACTTATATTTTCGAAAAGATTCTCATAAAATTAACCGATTACATGATCTAACGTTTCTACGTATAGTGTCTTTCTATACTGAAGATACTAGGTTCAATTTTGGTACGTGATAGCTAATAGAAATTTACTATAAGGGTATACCGTGGCATAAATATAAGCAGTCGCAAAATAGAGTCACACTAAGCACCTAAAGTACCTAAAACGAGTTTGGTATTTAATTTGCTTTCGAATTAGATTTCATAGCTAGCTGTTAAGTTGTTAATCTACAGTTAATGTTGATAGTGCCCCTATTAAAGAAAATTTTTTTGAATGTGTCAAGCAGCTAATAAGTGATTGCGATAATAATTGTAATTCATAATGCACTACATATATGTATCATCTATGCCTATACTCTTAAACAAGACTTTCTTGACATTATAGAATTGGTAGTTCCGACAAATTAGATCGAATTCTTCACTATTTCCATATTTCAACATCCGCTAGCGCTCTCTAAGAACAATTTTAGCTTCGAGCTAGTAGCTTCATATTATGGAAATAGAGTAAGATTAAGTATACGATATTTAAAGCTTGCGTAAAGCATCATCTATTTCATCAAGTGCATAACTAAATGGACCTGGACCACCTTTGAAGGCAATCCTGCCGTCCTTAACAATATATATCCGCTCTGGTTTGGCTGAATAAGCTCTCATCGAATCATTCTGCATTGAATCGACATAAAAAGGTAACTTGTAACAGAAATCATTTCTAAAATTGTTGGCTAATCGTATTTTATCGTCTAGCGTATCTGGCGCATGAAAGCATAATCCAGCTCCATCATTCAAATCAGGTATATACCAGTCATCAGTAGTATGCGCTTCGGCGATATAAATAGTAATAAATTCAGCTTTTTGACCGTACCAATGAGCATATTGAGCAAATTTATCGATATTAAAACGAAACGGTGGTCAACTGTAAGAACCGAAATTTAAGACAAAGATATTCATAGGCGATTGTTGAAATATCTGATGAAAATTGTATACTTCTTTATCTAATGTATATAAGACACCAGGTGGTGCTAAATCGCCAACTGATAGTCGGCCAAAGATGGCAACTTGATCAGGATCCGTAGCTAATGATAGTAAATTTTGTTTATTGAAAAAGTTCCTTGTCATCACCTGCCATTTTGATAGTTTAGATCGTTGGCGAGCATCTTCAACAACTTTATCCATTAATTTTGCGGCTCTGCAGAAAGCTCTTGGATACCAAATCTTAGACATAATAATCATGTACATCATTTTAAAAAAGCCATAAACTAATAAACAAGCTATCCAGAGTCGACCTTTATCAAAAAGTGTCTTTACTTTCGGCCGAAGTTTTTCATCGCCATTACATCTCGTTATTGGCTTATTTTTGATTCGCATAATGACCAATTGAACGGCAATCAATGATAGATTATATTTGTCTATAACATTAAGATTGAGTAAAAAGAGATTAAAATCTCTTGATGTGACCTATTAAAATCGATCCAACGTTGTCTTCGTATCCTCTTTGGTGATGAAAACGATGTCAATTCAATCCACTCTAGCCTTAATTACTTTACTAAGCTTATGGAACTGATAGCAAGTTATATTATGATTTTACTATAATCATGTATTCTTATATATCTATTACTTGGAATAATAATCTATTATTGTAAAAGAGGTTGTCTAACGTTGGATGCTATTTATCCTTATTATTCCAATCTATCCAATTATAGCTATACCTTTATACTTACGGAATCGTATAGTTAGGATATTTGATTAGTAATCATTATTGATGCCACTGATACTAATTCTATTCCTATAAAGATACTTGTTATAAATTAATTAGAATTAATAATTATCACAGAACTGAGACAGTTTTTCAATTAGAAATAATAAGTAAGGCGAAAATACAATCGTTGTATCACATACCGGTAGTGGGACTTGCATTAACGTAAACTTTATTAAAAATAATTTTCCGGAGCAGGTGATTAGAACTATTCAATAACTACGATAGTTTATGGATTGTATTAATAATGCATTGGCACTTAATATTAGCGAATATAATTTGAATAGCCGGACTTATTTAATCTATTAATTTTTAATAGATATACTTGTAGACCATCCACTTAAATTTTGGTTTTATTAATAACATCTATGTGTTTACAAGTTAGCTGTCAATCATGACTTGTAGTAGTTAACAGTCGAGTAGTAGGAGTAAGTTCGAAAGGTACGATAATAACGTCATTAATTTGAATAAGAGTATTAATTTTTCATACTGTATCGATATATTATAGTATTCTACTGCGAACTTCTTGTATCATTTAATATCATATTACCGCATAGATGATCAAATGGCTTAAATTAAGTAAGCAAAATTAATATTATTAACAAAAGTTTTATAATTTACAATATTCCAGAAGAAGAAGTTGGATGAAAGCTTAAAGTTTACAACAGATTTATGACGTATTGCAATATATTGATTAAAAATTAAATCAGTCTTGCTGAATTGATGTAGGTATAAAAGTTAAAGGATTTCTTGTCTATTTAAATTAGTTAGAGTGCCAAATTTCGGCAAGAAGTGGCTAATCTCACTCTATCTCTCATGTTATCTAGGTAAAGAATATGCTATTGCATCATCCTGAAATTTGTAAATGAAATTACTTGTGAAAGAATGAAAAACGCTATTTGATATAGAAAGATCAATATATGACATCTGTCATTTTAAGTGATGGGAGTTTCAGTAATACTGTGACAATAATAATAATAACAATAATTATAACGATCATTTTAATTTTATTTTGGTATCATTTTAATGTAGCCCTTGCGTTCATGTTTATTAATAAACAATTGAACGATACTGAAGCATGAAATATCAATGTTTGACACCTTGTACAACTAGAAGAGTCTAAATAAATAAGCTTTAACTTATCGTAATTTTTGATTATTAATTTAAAATTCAAATTGTATTCTACAGTAAAGTTGAGTTAATAATCAATTGATTGATAGCTTATTGCAGGTAGATACAGTCGATTTTGTCTGACTTATTTATTTACCGGAAAATAAATGTAAACAAGCGCAAACTAGGAGTAGTAAGCGTATTACAAATTAAATTACTGTATTTTCTTGTAAATACAAGAGTTGATCAGAATGAAGTTAAACTCATTGTTCTGAATCGGCTATGACGTAAAACTTAGTATGTTAGTTACTATATATTATTCTTTGAAGTTATGATAACTTTTTTTCTCTATATGCCTTGCATAACAAGCAACCAAAAACTCTAGAAGAAACTTATGATTACTATAGTGCAGACTCCATAATATTTATTCAACTCTACTTTACTTCCGTAAATTATACCGTAATTATTTATTCTTAATAAACGAATTTAGGCTATATGATGATATGTTTATCGGGATGTTTGATTAGAATAATTCATCGTTCTTGTTTAATAACTAAAGTTATGATCCTTAATTAATAATTTAGTTATACTCTGTTTCAGGTTTACGTATAAAGTATTCTTGCTATCTGACTTTGTGTTTGCCGGTGATATCCCGATATTAAGTGTAGATTCTGTTATATTTGATATTGCTTCTTTATATTGATCTATTCTTATTTAATAATTGCAATTATGTTCACAAATAAGTAACGAAAACTAGTAATGCCATATTGTCGATCGTTAATGTACTTGACTTTCTATAATAGAGATGAGATTACAGATTTCTAATGTACAGTATATGGGTAATATCAATATTATGTAATAAGACAGCGATAATAATTTTTACTAACTATATCAATGAGTGAAATTATATCCCTTCTCACCTGTAATAGAACAGAACAATATGCGTCTTGTCAAATGAAAGCATAGCAAACATAAGTTCCTCGTTTGTGTAACATCTCCAGTGTAATCTACAGTACGTGATAACATTTTCTGCGTGACCTTATTTTCTACTTATCTGAGGACCTATCTCGGTGACATATACATTAGTTTTAAACCACAGCATTATTAAAGGCACAAACAGAGTAGATCATTTATATCGTTGTAGCGTTACAATTATCAGTAAAGACGAAAGTTTTAAGTTGCGCATTATGAAGCCAAAAATTATTTCGATATTTTTAATCGTTTCCATTTATTCACAGCCTGCCAGATATGTTCGAATATTCTACTTAAGATTTCACTACGTTCGTAATATTTATTAATTATCAATTAGATACAATACCTACCGTAGTCTTACAACTTATATTATATTACCGTGATACAAACAATAGAAACGAATGCACATACAGTATATATATATATATATAAGTCCATTAGAATACTATTTCCCATAGTGCTTTTTCGACATAGAAAGATATAGCCAAATGAATAATCATACTATACAAAGATTTATTCAATCTCATTTTATTTGGATTATTTGTACAGTAGTTGTAGCAGCAGCAATAACAAATTTAAAAAGGTTAAGAATAGATTCATAACGATGCTCAAACTACCGCAACGCCAAGTGAAATACAGATTCGACAACAAACAAGGCGATTTCGCTTAAAATGATTGGTAATCAGATACTATAACTGTCCAAACATTCTAATTTTTACGAACCAACAGGTAATAGGTAGTAAATACACAGAATTCGTACATCCAAACAATTCATAGATGTATTCAAATAGGGGAATACCTTAACTACACGAGCGTACAATCTAGGTATAAAATAGCGACTACGTACAGAACCACTGTAGTTATATAATATGTTATTATTTTCCACTGAAAATCCCATATGACTGTGAAAGATTAATGCTATTGCAACTTGAATTTATTAGCTACATAAAACTTTCTTAAAGGTGTTAATAAGCTATAATTACAGCTAAGTATGTAATCAGCCATTCATTATGCCCAATTGGATGAAGTTAATTGTTTCGCCTAATAGCATTTCATCAATAGCAAATCTTGAATGACGGTTACACTAAACAGTTTACTTACATTAGATTCGCTGATAAATCAATACAGCAGTATAAAATTTATCTGACTCTAACATAGACCATATACAAGTTTAGTCCATTTTCAAGTTTAAGTAGATGTATCTTATAAAGGTTAGTGAAGCGTAAAAAGATACCGTACCCAACATTAGGTAAAAGACATAACAAGCTAATAATGTATAACCGAAAAATTCAAAAGTTTGCAAAGTGCCAGTCATATTTGAGCGTTTGACGAAGTAAAAGAATGCATAAACAAATACAAAGAAGCTCGCAAATCTGTAAGTAAAAGAAAGGCATTTACATTAGTTACAATAGGAATAAAATGTGGCCAAAATTGTAATCCTTTTCTAATAAACTATGGCTACAAAGAATCCATATCTACGATATTTAATGATAAGGTATTGGTTACAAAAATTATATACTAACCCGGTATTGTTAAAAGATCGCCACCACCAGCGATAGTCTTCATTTGATAATTGGAAATAAGTCAGTGCGATAGAAATGCAAACAGTTACACTTAATAGGATAACATAGACAACAAATAAGATGCCGTATAGGGTGTACTGTTCACGTCCCCATGTTGTCGCGAAAATGTAGTACAATTCCACCGAGACAGCACTAAAAAACATCCAGAAGGTGATAATTAATTGACTAGATTATAAATAATGATTCTATCATTGTACAATGTACCTAAACGGGATAAATCCGCCTATTAACATTAGTATCGGGCCACTGCGGTACCTAAATGAAATAAGTAGTTCACAGTTTAGCTCTTACGTGCAATAGCTTGTTAGTAAAGTACTGTACACAATTAATCCATACCATGACACAGATGGGATTTCTCTAGCAATATTTTTTGTCCGACAAGGAGCATTGAATGATATCGCATAATTTTTACCAAATATCCCACCGAGAACATTTAACGGGAATCCAACTAAAGAAAGAAAAAATTATGGCTCAGATCTTGTTTAACTAATTAAACACAATGCAGCAGAATTACTGACTAGCATATTATCAAAAAATTTACCCAACATCCAAATTAATACCAGAATCATAACAGTAGTAAACGGCAGAGCCTGGGTGGATGCATAATACCAAGCAACGGAATTTTCGATACTCCAAACAAGAAATAAAGGGGCTAGAATAGATATATTGAAACAGTTGGGTCAAAGTTAGAAATAAAGCTCTATATCTCCAAGCTACAAGTTTAAGTTCGCAATAATTGAACTATTGCAGAAGTGATAGTTACTAATTACCAGAGAATAACGTTGAAGTTAATACAATATTCCACACCCAATTTTCTCCACCAATTTTTTTATAGAAATTACTTGAAACGTAACCAGCGACGAATGATGTTAAGGCATACATCAATACAGCGGCAGTATTAATTGATCCATGCCTAGTTGGTAACATTTATAAGTAATCTATTAGAAGTTATATTGCCGTAGGCTATGAATTAGTACTTTAAGAAATAATTACAAGGAGATTACGTTATCAAATCTACTACTGACCTATGAATATTGAACATCTTTAGCATAGCCATGATTAAAATTGAACCAGTAATTAAGAGAAATTGCGAACCAACGCCTTGAATTCAATCAATAAAAGATCCACAGTTCCTGTTATAAGTCCAGCATATGATTATCAAATGACAATTTACAGTATACCTAGCATAGACGATAGTAAAGACTTGTATTTTGGTAGTCTAAATACGTCAGCATGGACGACCTTCCAACCATTATCATCCCGATCTAAAGTAGATGATAACACTTTATAGATGAGATTATTCCACGATATATAAAGATATTAGAGATATTAAATACCTAAGCTGTCTTCTTCATCATTTACAACATTATAACGAGCGAAGTCGCTCCTTAGTACACGCATCTAATTTGTAAGCACCAATCAGAATTATTTAGGTTTAAAATCAGAGAAGACCATTACTAATCGATATTACTAACCAGTATGATTACTACGAAGCCCATTAAGAGGATTACCAGTACAATTGAATTGATAATGGAAAGCCAATGGATCTGCATATCAGTAATAAAGTAATATTAACTCAGAAAAGAATATTGCCAATTAGGAAGGCAAATGATCAAAGAATCGATTTAACCAACCTCAAGAGACTTTTGAAAAAATGTATCTTTCTTTGACATCCGCTGAGAATATGCAACCCTAAAGGGACAAATAGAAGACGGTATGAATAAGTTTGTATTCCAGGGTTAATACGAAGTAGAACGCTATAGTAGTAGCTGTGGTTCTTTTCTAATGAAGTTTGTGTTATCAACGAATCAAAATTAATTAATTCAATAATGGTAATAACTTGGTCTTTTTCCATGTAGCGCTGTAGGTATAGGTGATTTGAGCCGGAAAAGTGTCAATGTTTTCTAGGCTTATCGGATTGACATTGGACATGCTAACATTTGCGCTAATAAGCTACGATAAAAGGGATAATTTTTAATACGCATGTTAGTGTACCAAGGATATTCTATATAGTTGTAATATTGTAGCATAGCGATTATATCACAATCATACTATGAAAATGAATTGGATAATTTACGATACAAACCTGATCCATGTTATACTCGAAAAAGAAATCAAAATGTCCCCATAGATATACTTGATGACTATGGGGAATAAAACCACTTTCTTTCAAGTGACCAACAAATCCGCGAATAGGTAAATCATCTATAGCGCAAATGATATGAATACATTTGTATTTGTGGTCATTGTGATAAGACTACTGTTTCTAATCTCTATTATGGCGAAATTGTTTAGGCTATATGCACTTGATCGCTATGGAGCTAATGAGACCACACGCTACTTATAGTGATTATATAATTTATCCTAAGTCAATCTACCGATAATAAATTCGAAAAAGTACAGTTCTTCAATGGCATGAATCAATTTGTCGATGTCTTTCTTTTCATAGGGTTCTGTACATAATTTTTTATTCTTGAATGTTTCTAGAAATGAAATGTATATGACAATAGTTAAGCTTATTTGTTATACGTCATTGCTAAGATTAATCAGGATATAATAAAGTAGGACGTATGATATTGTTTCAAGGTACAGTAGTTGGAGTAAAAATTTGAAATATTCGATGGTAAAAGCAACATAATATATTAATTGCTATTCGATTGAATTATTAAGTAGCATGAGTTGTAATTAATTGTCAACTTGTTAAGATTGTCAATTTTTATCAAGTGCCTATGTATTATGGCTTGAAATTGAAACAGTGTGATTTTGAATGAATAGCGAGCGAATCATTTTCTACGTATTAACAATATCTCCAATGCGTCATTATTATACAAGAAGAAAGTAGAATACTGTCTACTGTACTTTTACAAGCAAGTTGAGACTACCACGGTCATTTCTGTAAGCGTTAAAGAAATACGTGTCCATTATAATTTGGGATAATTGAAATCAAAACTAACACTTTGATATTGTATATCAGGTATTAATTAATACTGCCTAAAAGGAAATTGAATCTATTTTAAAAATACTTTGATAGAGTATGGAAGAAATTGGATGGAATATCGAGACGATGTTGATTGTAAGATAAAATTGGTCAAGGTGTTACTATATTATTGTTTGAAGAATTTGTCAATGTAGAACAAACAAGAGGTATCGTGCCATGATGATCGAATTCAACAGCAGGAAGTTGGAACCTATTGAAGGGGTTAATTGGATGAAAATATGGTTTTAATACATTATCTTACTGATATGGTGAATGAATGAACTGATGAGTATAGTTAGGTATATTACATCCTTGATAAAAGTAGATCTTGGGCATTGCTTGTAAGAAGATTTAATTTTAATAGAATATTGCATACTTTGTATGTAAGGCAGATGTAATTAATATTGCAAATCAACCCATGAGATATGCATTACAATGTAGTTCTTGGCTACTTTATGACAGTACTATCGTCATTTCTGTCAATAGAGTGTACTAATTTTTTGGCAAATATGGATACTTGGTGTATTTTCCATTTTATACGGTGATTTCATCCATTCATACTTGTATTGAACACATTGCTATACTATCATCTATCATCATGGTACAACTTTCGATAAAATGGATTGGTAGTACAATCCTTAGTTTAGATACAAGACATTCACATGACCTAATTGGATTGAAAAAAAAAGTTGAATAGGATAGTGTGATTTGTATAGAGGACATCAGTTGGATAATATAACAACGTCATATGTCGCCATTTGTAAGAAATAATTGATGTTGGATTAAAAAAGAATTGATAGTAAGACTGTCCATTAGCTAATTGAACATGGCAATAGCTTTAGTCATTGCGATGTAGAATATCAAGACGGGATGATCGATGGCATTTTTCGATAGGCCTACAGTATAGTACAAGTCATGAAAATTGTCCATTGCAAGTCAGTAGCAACGATCTACTTGAAGTCTAGTCTGGTTATGAGGGATATTGTTGGTCATGTAGTGTAGTTGTAGGAGATCAGTTACAAGATATAAATGACAACGACAGGTATGATGATTTATCCATTGGTAACTATTCCATTCAATTGTGGGTAATAGTTTCCATTTTGAGCGCACAAATTGATTCAATCGTATTAGGTTAAGCCTAACATTTGTAGAAATATCAACATGGTAGTGATGTACTGCAGTATAGCTGATAGATTGATTTGTTTTGCAGGATAGTTCTCGTCGATGAATAATCACTGCTACTCATTGGCATGGATTTTGAAAAGCGTCCGCTAGTGTATCAACATTATTGTCATTTCGTAACCTAATTAATTGATTAGTACCAAGACTAGAGTGAATGTCAACGTACTACAGTAAATGATTTGTCTGTATATTATGGTATCAATAGAAGAAAGTGCTATTCTATTTATGCTTGATGAAATGATGTCAATTGATTGCAATTTTTTAGCTGGTCTTGATACGTTTGTCAAGACTAGATGAGATGAACAACGATGGCCAAGATAGTACAGTATGATTGCTCTAGACTGGATATGTCGTCCGTTGAGTAGAGTACAAACCTCGAAATCGGATGTTAAAGGATGATACAGCCATTCGATCCCCTTTCAAGACTTCACCTAACGTTAAACTGCGATGTTCCACCTTGAATTGAAATGCAATAAAAGTTTGTAAGCAAGTAGGCGTTGAATTGATTTCAATGAAAAGATGGTAACCTGGATTGAACTAGATTGATAGCAAAAAGTAGCTGTACTGTACAATGATGGCAATCTGTAGTGCTGTAGACAGTGATTCCATCGCCATAGTACATTGATTGACTGTCGATTGGTCTTTCTGACCTAACATCAAGTGGATGGAATCGACTCAATTTATTCGATTGTCTACGGTACTTGCAACAAGATGAGCCACGGTGGCAAAACTCGTTGTGTCTGTGTATACAAGATTTCTATTCTGTTGTCGGCTAATGTAGTGTAGAAAGCATCTTGATTGTACCGATGGTGGATCAAAAGATACCATACTGATGTCTACCCTACAGTAGTCTACGGTGGCAAAACTCGTTGTGTACAAGATTTCTTCTATGCTGCTGTCGGCTAATGTAGTGTAGAAAGCATCTTGATTGTATCGATGGTGGATCAAAAGATACCATACTGATGTCTACCCTACAGTAGTCTACGGTGGCAAAACTCGTTGTGTACAAGATTTCTTCTATGCTGCTGTCGGCTAATGTAGTGTAGAAAGCATCTTGATTGTACCGATGGTGGATCAAAAGATACCTTACTGATGTCTACCCTACAGTAGTCTACGATGGCAAAACTCGTTGTGTACAAGATTTCTTCTATGCTGCTGTCGGCTAATGTAGTGTAGAAAGCATCTTGATTGTATCGATGGTGGATCAAAAGATACCTTATCGATGTCTACCCTACAGTAGTCTACGGTGGCAAAAGTGCTAATGTGACGAAAAGATAACCGTGAATGGAATGGAATAGACGAGATTGAATTACCTTTTGAGGACGGCAAATGGGCAAAGAATAATAATGATAAGTTTCATGTGGATTAAAGTAAGGCCCCACTTTATTCACATACATGGTAATCTAAATATAGGGAGAAATGAAAGTCGAATCAAGTCGTGTTCTTCAAGCCCAAGTGTTACCACTTGCTTCCGACAGGTAGAAATCAAGTTACAGTACCTTTTCTCGATCTTTAAAGGTGGCTCCATTGGCTTGATAGAGGATCCAAGAGAGGAAGAAGTATGTGAACGCGCTTACGGAAGCCATTGTTGCACCACTTCCAACTGCAATCTGCCAACACGCAACTGTTGACGTATCAACTTGCTTTTACCACTGCCCCCAACATCCATACTGAAGAGAGGATACTGCGCTATGTACGAGTGTCGACGACAGTCTAGTTCTGCTCGTCGCTGGTCTATTTCCAACTGGTAGTGGTCGAAGGAGACCTCGACCGTCTTAGCCTACAGTGTACAGTACAAGTACTGGAGAGCACAGTACTGTACACTCTGCGCTGGACTCCAGTTCATCCCTTACAGTACTGTACTGTACGTCGGGGTGGTACTGTACACTGTACACTGTACAGTATGGACTGTAGATCAATCGTTGCCATTGCATCCATACTGAAGACAGTATACTGTGCTGTCTACCAGTCTAGACGACAGTCTGGTTGTGCTCGTCGCTGGTCTATTTCCAACTGGTAGTGGTTGAAGGAGACCTCGACCGTCTTGGCCTACAGTGTACAGTACAAATACTGGAGAGCACAGTACTGTACACTCTGCGCTGGGCTGCAGTCCATCCATTACAGTACAGTACATCGGGTGGTACTGTACACTGTACACTGTACAGTATGGACTGTAGATCAATCGCTGCCATTGCATCCATACTGAAGACAGTATACTGTGCTGTCTACCAGTCTAGACGACAGTCTGGTTGTGCTCGTCGCTGGTCTATTTCCAACTGGTAGTGGTTGAAGGAGATCTCGACCGTCTTGGCCTACAGTGTACAGTACAAATACTGGAGAGCACAGTACTGTACACTCTGCGCTGGGCTGCAGTCCATCCATTACAGTACAGTACAGTACATCGGGTGGTACTGTACACTGTACACTGTACAGTATGGACTGTAGATCAATCGCTGCCATTGCATCCATACTGAAGACAGTATACTGTGCTGTCTACCAGTCTAGACGACAGTCTGGTTGTGCTCGTCGCTGGTCTATTTCCAACTGGTAGTGGTTGAAGGAGATCTCGACCGTCTTGGCCTACAGTGTACAGTACAAGTACTGGAGAGCACAGTACTGTACACTCTGCGCTGGACTCCAGTTCATCCCTTACTGTACACTGTACTGTACGTCGGGGTGGTACAGTACTGTACACTGTACACTGTACTGTACTGTACTGTATGGACTGTAGATCAATCGCTGCCAACCCGAACATCCATACTGAAGACAGTATAAATACTGGAGAGCACAGTACTGTACTGTACACTCTGCGCTGGACTCCAGTCTATCCCTTACAGTACGTCGGGTGGTACTGTACACTGTACACTGTACAGTATGGACTGTAGACCAATCGCTGCTAACCCGAACATCCATACTGAAGACAGTATACTGTACTGTCTACGAGTCTAGACGACGCTCTGGTTGTGCTCGTCGCTGGTCTATTTCCAACTGGTAGTGGTTGAAGGAGATCTCGACCGTCTTGGCCTACAGTGTACAGTACAAATACTGGAGAGCACAGTACTGTACACTCTGCGCTGGACCCCAGTCCATCCCTTACAGTACGTCAGGGTGGTACTGTACACTGTACACTGTACTGTACAATACTGAAGACAGTATACTGTGCTGTCTACCAGTCCAGACGACAGTCTACAACCTACAACCTCGTCAACAGACACTAGAGGCTCACTGCCCAGTAAACTACCCAATGGAACGGAATGCGGATGCGCACTTCCGCTTCTGGCGGAATACGCCTGCGTAATTCGTTCATTTCCGTCAAAGCCTGTCAACTAACCATGGTACGTACTCTACAGAGTACTGGACGTAGGACTACGTCCGTATGTCCGTCGTACAGCACTGTAGTCCACTGTACTCAGTGTACTGTACTGGAAATCCACTACTCGTCTATTCCATGCTAGTAACTGTATTGCAGTACTGGTAGAGATCGAGTCATCACTGCAAATTCATACACTAGTCCAAGCCAAAATCTGCGTATGGGCACTTCTACGCACCAAAATCCATCAAAGTTCAAAACATCAACACCAGCCAAAACAAGTAAAAGATCATTTTCATCGGCATTGAGCAGCCAAATCTCAAGTTCAGTCCCTGCTGCAGTCTGTGGATTGAACAGCCAAATCTCAAGTTCTGCAGTCTCTCCATTCAACAGCTAAATCTCAACTTCTGCAGTCTCTCCACTCAACAGCCAAATCTCAACTTCTGCAGTTTCTCCATTCAACAGCTAAATCTCAACTTCTGCAGTCTCTCCATTCAACAGCCAAATCTCAACTTCTGCAGTCTCTCCATTCAACAGCCAAATCTCAACTTCTGCAATCTCTCCATTCAACAGCCAAATCTCAACTTCTGCAGTCTCTCCATTCAACAGCTAAATCTCAACTTCAACAGCCAAATCTCAACTTCTGCAGTCTCTCCATTCAACAGCTAAATCTCAGCTTCTGCAGTCTCTCCATTCAACAGCTAAATTTCAACTTCTGCAGTCTCTCCATTCAACAGCCAAATCTCAACTTCAACAGCCAAATCTCAACTTCTGCAGTCTCTCCACTCAACAGCCAAATCTCAACTTCTGCAGTCTCTCCATTCAACAGCCAAATCTCAACTTCTGCAGTCTCTCCACTCAACAGCCAAATCTCAACTTCTGCAGTCTCTCCATTCAACAGCCAAATCTCAACTTCTGCAGTCTCTCCATTCAACAGCTAAATCTCAACTTCTGCAGTCTCTCCATTCAACAGCCAAATCTCAACTTCTGCAGTCTCCCCATTCAACACCCTAATCTCAACTTCTGCCCCTGCTGCAATCTCTCCATTAAACAACCAAATCTCAAGTTCAGTCCCTTTGGCTACGACATGATGACTACAGCACAGGCTTATTGCCTTGGCTGCAAAGGGTGAAACCACTACTTGCTAAAGGAATTAGTCCATTTGATCAACGCTTTACCGCAGCGCTCCTATACAGTACATTCAATGCCATGGAAATGGTCAAGGAAATTGTCGATTTTTATCAACCAGATTATACCAAGACGCTTTTCGTCAGTAATTTCCCTTCTTCTCTTTCTTCTGCTAATATTCAGGTATAACTAGGACTAAATAGCGTAGCAGCGATTGTCAATTCCATCAATGACTTGATTCATTCTATTCAAAATTGTAAATCACTGTTGCATTATCGAACATCATCACTCGCCCCGCGTTACTTTAAGGCATCGTTCATTGACTACAAAGATAGATGCTGCTCTACGCAGTGCTAGCCAATTTTCAAAGGCTCATAATGTGGTAGAAAACTGTCCGATACAAGCTAGCCATTGCACAATTGCCGCTCTACGCTAACCTACCGGTGGCATACTGCAACGATGGCCAGCACTGTACTGTAGGATGCTACGTGCTTGTACGTACTCGTATAGCCCTTGCATTTCCAAGTGAAAAATAGTCACCATTACTGGAGCATGATATACTCAGTAAAATGCTCATCAGAGTGTCTATGAACAGCATCTCTGCTGTAAAATAATTTCTACCCCAGCCATTCACAAGCTACGTTATCTACTGGCTCTACTTCTCTCCCATTTTTAATTACGGTGGATAGATTTGATTAATTGTACATGTTTACATTGAGTCATCACCGCACTTATTCTATATACTAGTAAAGTTTCCCTTCAAATTTTGAACGGGTATATATTCTATACAAAGCAAGACTTTGAAAGGAAAGTCATAGCCAGATTGTTTCTTACTACTGTACAGTATATAGATACTTCCGCTACGTAACGGTCAAAGCGAACATCCCTTTATTATTAGGTAGGATTATATTATAGATCATCAATATACGATGAGCGCACTACTAATGCGTGCTAAAAATAAAACCTACGCTGACATCAATTCGTAATCATAACTTTGTAAATAAACATATTGATATACGGGTAATGGATCGGTCATACGGATTAAAATTTTAAAATTTTCAAGATACTCAATGCTATTAAATCATTCAGGAAAGACTAGAAAGTATTTGCTCCGCCTTTGGATTGATCTGTGGTATAAAATGTTTCGAAAACGAACCATCTAAAGGTATATATGTTATTCAGTAGCAACACTCACAACTTAGAATTAAGGACATGAAGAGGAAGAATGTGATGTCGTATGACTTCACTATAAATTCAACCATGAGCCATAAGTCAGTCTCAAGTCGGATACGTCTTGTACTTAAAACGGAACATAACTGTACGCTTAATAAAATTAAAGATCTCATTGTACTCGGTGTAACTTACAATCTTACTATTACGGTAATAGATGCTAATTTCAATGAAATCTTGATGCCAATTAATTCGTAGTTCATTTTCCATGATGCAGATGAAGGGTTTGCTTCTGCCCAGTATGCTTTTGTTCAGTATTATTCCAAAGTGGCTGCCATTCAAGCACAAAAGGAACTCAATGGCAGATGGTTTATAGGTTTCCGAGCAATGAAGGTACACCAGTATTTATAGCAGCATGTTGATAATAGCATAGTTTATGCTTAATGTAGTTGCGTTATACCCTTTTTGCTCAGCGAAAGTGAATAATAACTTTTGCAAAATATACAATATGCGCTATCTATCTGTCGATATGTACTGGACTTGATGTTAATTAATACCAGAAAATTACTGACTTTTCTGAGAGGATAGCTTGTTCGATTCATTGTATAATAATTGCAATGAAATAGGACTCATTTAGTATGCGCATAGTATAAAAATACGACTAGAAATTTAAAGGTAGACGTAGAATAGTCTAATATATATTTTAGTTGCATAACCACTTGATAACAATTGGAAATGCTATCCAACTCTTGGTCTATCTTAACCATAACTGACATAGAATTATTCATACTTTTAATACGCGTATATTATAACGATGCATTATATAGCAAAGCGAGACTACTTTTTTACCTCATTATAAAGTACGTATAATACGCCTTGTAATAGCACTAACGGAGAATAGTACTTACAATTAGAAATGAACTGACAATAAACATTTATTATAGATGTATAAATAAATGGTTGAGTAAAATAGTGTTCCAATTATTTACACCTCGTAGGTCAACTTTGCTAATCCGAAAAATAAACAAGCCTTTAAAATGATTTTGCCTCTTTGGAAATGTTACGATTTAGCTAACTTTTACCTTGGTTTCAATGGCTGGTCGGTAAATATAGTTTCGGTAGGTTGTATACTACGTTCATCAATATTACCATGCAGTAATAGTAGTAAATAGAATGAAATTATTCTGCGCAATATATGAACGAGTTATTATTAGTTCCTGATACCCAAAGATATGACAATCAATATTTACAAATTCAAATTAAAGTATTTTCCCGTCTATTGGCAATGTTTTATTAATTAAAGACTCTTATTTTATACAATACTGTATGCGTTTTATAGCTGAGAGAAGTAGATCAAACGGAGGATTCTTTACAAGATCAAAAATCTCTGCAACAGTTGAAAATTGATAATCTAAATAAGCCCGACGAAAAGCCTAGCAAACAAATTCGCTGTATGCAGTGTCGCATAAGAATGGCTTTCCCAAGGTATTCGGATATTTATGCCATCGGTGACGGATTAGCGGAAATAGTTCCTAATACCAACGATCCAGGTATTTTAATGATGCATCACCACAACTTCAATATCAAAAAATAGTACTGTAATTTATCCAATGTATCACCGTTGTCATTGTTAACTCATGATTGTTGATTGTCAGGGCTATAGGCAGTTTAAGTATACTAACAAGCTACAAAGTCCTATAAAAAATCCATCCTTATTGATTGTAATTGTAAATCTGATTCAGTTTTGCATATAACTTAGATATTATAGTGCGTACTCTGGCTTTATCTTACTTCAGATAATTATTTGTTGTGTATACTGCAACCAGCACTTAAAGGTATATTACAGTACAGACCTACTTGACATTAAAGACGCATTAATGTCTTCTTACTACAACTGAAACTTAACGAAGCTACTTTACTAACATGATTATTGCTTATTAGGTAACTTGTCCAATATTGTCAATAGTAGAGCGAAATCGACCAAGCTTGCTTATCAAAGGGCCTGTAAAGATGCATATTCTCAACTGTTATTTGTGATACTTAATAATGGAAAGTTGTATATAGAGATATTCCGTCAAGAATCACATAATCACTTTTGCGAATTACCAATCGCAGAGGATTTATTTGATAATCAAGTTCATGTAAATGTATTAAAGGAAGAACTTCAGGATGAACCTGAACCAGCGTGTGATTGACTCCATAAACAAATCATACGTCGATTTAATCATGTAATATATCAATGTACACTATGCAACGCGAAGACTTAATTGTGCATTCAATAACATCAATAATAATGTTGTAACCTGTCTTTACGTAATATGTGAGCATGTAATGCTCAGGCAGGTGTTGAAAATTTCGAATACTATAACAAATAATATTACTGAGAAAGAGCACTTCCATTCCATAATTGTTCTATCTTTCCTCGTCATTAAATTTATTTCTGAATACCGATTATTTTCTTACAGTTGCTCTCAATGTAAGTTGTATCAAAAATCGTCAAGTAACTGCAGTGTTCTTATTCACAACGCTGTTGTGCAGAATCATAATTGCAAATGGAATGAAGGTAGCTTGCTGATTGCGACACAATTGTACGGCTGTGAAATAAAACACCCTATGAGTAACTTTCTGCGTCTATCGCTCGTTTTTATAGGTATAAAGGTGATAAATAATAACCCTTTACAGCATAATTCATTTCTATGCGGGCTTGTCAGAAGTCTTGCTAGTTGTGTGTAAACTATGATGGTTAATTGGTTAGTTGTATTTTGCTAGTTGCAGTACTGAGCGCCTATTACGCCTGCAGAATATTAACACGTTTAGTTACTAGAAATGATTCTTCCCCTGTCGACTTCAACAAGCAAGACCACGAATATTGTATGCAGTATTATCATGTCAAAATTACTTTTCTATCGTACTCACTAAAAGTTTAAAACTACTCAGAACATACTCGTATTTATCTGAAAATCGATAATTCTATATGGCACATGGCACTTCGGTCATAAATCATGCGATTACTGACTTATAAATATACCCATGCTTCTTTAGATTTTTCTGTTTCGGTTTTGAATAATACATATTTTTATTTTATTCTATCACTATTAAACCAGATGTAATAAAAAAGTGTGATAAGCTTTTCAGCGCAGTTGCAAATATGTTACTACCACTTAAAATTCGATAAGTTTGAAAAAGTCTAATGCACCTTAATGCATTGATACAGTTACATATTCATTTGCGCAGAGCATGAAGGAATAGATTGAAATCTGCTTTAATTAATTAAATACGATAACTAAAACGCTGGCATTTTGTTAGCGAGTGGTATACATGTCAGAATCCTCTGGGCTCGACTGCCCGTAATCTCCTATAATTTTAGGCTTCATTTCTTTCTTGTCATCCTCTGGGCTTGACTGCCCGTAATCACCTGTAACTTTAGGCTCCGTTTCTTTCTTGTCAACAGGTGGTTCAGGTTCAAGTTCTGATTCTTTGTTGCTATCATCAATCGTTTGTGAAACTTCCAGATTTTCTTCATTATCTTGGTGTAAATTATCCTTACTTAATTCTAAGCTTTCAGTAGTTTCCGAAGTTTCATTAACGATATTATCAGTGCTATCTTTGACCGCAGGGGCAGTATCCTCCAATTCTTCATTTTCTGAATTGCTTGCAGTCTTATTATCATTAGAGTTAAGCGAAGATGATAATGTAGTGAGACCCTTATTAACGGTTGTTTTTATCGAATTAGCAATTGATAGTAGGCTGTCACCATTTTTTTCCTTTAAAGCGGAAAGAATTTTAAAATTTAACAGATATTACAGCTTGGTATTTTCATAATTCTTAACGCGTATTAACCTGAACTTCATCAATAGGATCACCGCTATACCAATGCTTTGCATATCTCCAGGTACTTCTACTAATATTGACAGTTTCAACTGGGTAACAGAGCATAGACGAAACGGTTAAAAAGCCAACTGGATAGAAAAAGCGCCTAAAAATTCCTTTCCCTGCATCATTGAAATATATAGCGATTATTCTCATTGTCCTTATTACTTAAATGAAGGGTATAAAATGGAAATCTTAAAATGTAACCTACTTCGACCAGCTATGACAAATCCTGTTAATCCTGCAAATCCAATCAGTCCTACCCGAGGCAGAAGGCCTTCTTTGTTAATGATATCTTGTGTCGTAGCTAGAGATAGCAAAACATCAGTCAGATATTAAGTCTACTTATTATCTGTAGCAATCAGTTAATTTGTATCTGCGGAATCGTTATTGAAACAACACCTCATAAAATACTTACAAGTAATTCTTTCCTTAGCACTAGTGACAGAATTCCTAACTCCATGCGTTATGTCCTTAATAACAAAAAAGTATGAAACACATCATTATATCCTTGCATAAATTAGTTAATGAATCCATCACGCTCATTCATTTAGTCTATATACTGTACGTTGTGCAACTATAGCTTGCCTATTTGAATTGTATTCAGTTCTAATTAGGAATTTAGAAGAAATGCTTACTATCAATTGCCTAGTAATATCATAAACAGATTTTCTTGTAGTCGATACGTAAGTTTCTAATGTTGATTTCGTTCGTTTAGGGTATTTGACGGATGCTTCTTCCACATCATAGATTGGTAACTAGGATAGTAAAATGACGCAATCAATTTACCATTAATAATATTATCATTAATTTAAATAAATCAGGACAGGAAACTAGAAAAAAAGCACCAGTCAATATTTTAGAATTCGTTCATTGGTTGTTGTATGTGGTAAGTTTATCTCAGTTGTTGCTGCACTAGTACGATGGAATCACGTCTTAGCAGGGTGTTTGCTGTACCCGTACGACGTACTGTACAGTATAGGCAATGAGCATCAATATCAATGTCAACAGCATCGGATAAAATACATAGTACAAATCATTTACTATTGCAATAGGACTAATCACTACGCTATTGTAGAAGTTGGCATACTATCATGTCTGTCATAGTTTACAATGATGGATATGGTATTTTCTTGACCACGAATATGCTATTGCACTCAATCTACTATATAGCATACGTATTACGTATATTTTTGAACTTGTTAATTCATCAGTATGCCTCGATATAGCCTTTGTTCAGCTTGTTTTCTTGTCGATACGCTAACTGTAAGATATATACGAATGCATATGCATGCCATTCTAAAATTAGTCCGATATTGCTGTCGGAAAAAAAGGTTACCAGTCAGTAATGTTATCGTGTACACTAACAATGGGGGATGGTACAACGCATGCAAAGCAGATTTGGCCAACTGCATGCACAGAAATCTCATCTACTGCAACAATGACCATACATGTATGTACATAGTAAATGGCGATTACAACTGCCGAGAAAGCAGCACTTGATGAAGAAATTGACGATACCTCAGATGGATCAATAGTATCATTTCCAGAGTCAGCCATTGACGTGTTTGCTAGCAATATAGAACCAGCAGGCAGAGTGATAGCAATGAATCGTCCAGCCTTTACCATAAAATTGAAATAGATGAATTTTTCAGTGCAATTGAACATAAGAGCAGATTTCAAGGTTAATTTAATTGATTGGCTTTCGCTATATCTCAATCCAGTAAGCCCTACGTGATATCATCTACACCATCATGCTTGTGTTGCATTGATATGCAATTTTGTATACAAAAATAAGCCATTATTACCTTACCATACTGTCCGAATACTCATACACTTTAGTATTTTAATATCAAGCCTTAACGTAGAACTACCTTATGCTAATTATTACGCTACAGAATAAAGCTAAATATCGCCGTTGGCTTGTAAAAAATAGTAGCAACAATGATCAACTTTCTCAACTCTTACCATGATCGGTAGTGACGCCATTTTGGGTCATTCCCTTCCACAAGCGATTCAGTACTGATGGTGTTTGCTTGAGCCTCTATAGTCTGTAGCAGTCAGCGGTCTATGGTAGTCGTACTGTATCGAAAGCGCAGTACTGTAAACGTATCGTACCTAACTGCAGTGTTGAACTTCACTGTCGACTCCGACTGCTCGAAGAAGACTTGGTCACTCTCGGACGGACAGACATCGCCGGCCTCTTCTGGTCCAAATATTGTACCAAACACTTCGTTGTGGCAGTACTTTCGTATGCAGGAGTTCCATTTTGAATTGACTATTTTTTTTTTAATGAAGTAATATGACGTTGAATCTTATTCACTACTAAGCTCGGATCAACTTTGATCCGTAAGTTCTGCTTGAAAATAGTTACATAAGATTATCGATGTTACTTCAATTAGTATCCGTGAATTAGAAAACAGACACGGAAGATCCATCCCATACTGGTGAGTATTTTCAATGTTGACGGCCTCATTCAATAGGGGGAGTCCGTCTGTCCGAAGGGGGAACCAGTCCTAGTCTCCGTCAACTCATTACAGTATGTCTGTCCATTAACATTATGTCTGTCGTCTGTCCGAGGAAGGAACCAGTCCTGGTCTCCGTCAAGTCCGAGTAAGTCCTAGACTACAGTACTATAACATTACAGTATGTCTGTCGTCTGTCCGAGGAAGGAACCAGTCCTGGTCTCCGTCAAGTCCCAATAAGTCCTAGACTACAGTACAGTACAGTACAGTACTGTACAGTATGTCTGTCGTCTGTCCCAGGGAGGAAACAGTCCTGGTCTCCTTCTAGTTCCAGTTAGTCCCAGTAACAGTACAGTACAGTGTACGGTACCGAACCGGACCCGGACCGTTCATTACAGTACATTGTATGTACAGTATATTCCGTACAGTGTACTGTACAGTGTACAGTATACTCGGCACAGGTGTGACCATAGACGTTTATCTTTCTCTTTTTAATTTAAATCTACAGTATAGGCGTGCCGGTCTGTATAGTAGACTACTGTGCAGTAAAGTACAGTACGTAAATATAATACTGCTGTACTGTAGTACTGGATCAGGATGTTTGAGACGTAAGAAATCGCTTTCCAGTCGATGTGCAATAACAGCGAAACCATATTCAATCAATCAACAACTAGCAAAATTCTCTCACATTAACGTGTAAACATTTTGTTGATTAAGTTAATGAACGTCATTGGATCTGGCTTGGCCTACAGCATTTGCCCCAAATTCAATATTAAATAATCCTACTTTGCGCCTCAGGAAGTAGACTTGCTAAGGTAACAATTATTATACTCGTATACAGTAAATTGTTACTATTGTTACAAGGTAAAAAAACAGTTGAAATTGGAGCCACGAGTCTCTTTTTAGCATCTCTTTGCTACCATACTATACAATGTATATGAATCGAATTTTTGTTGAAATGATTCGACAGCATGTAAATAATTATTGACTGGTCAAAATGACCAGGTCTTTGCTTTGCCAAATACAGTAGTAGTGGTACAGTAGAGTAGAATAAAAGTAGAGACTGTCCTTATTATGATTTATTTGTACAGTAATGCAATATTATACTGTATACCTTACTTGCCGTAAGCGTCCGATAACTATTCGCGTACCGGTAGGCGGTAGTTAATGAATAATAATTCTATACGCTTACATCTTGTTACGATTATTTAAGAGACAGATCCGTAGTTGGTTGTTAATTTCCTTTAATTTATGAATACGACTAGACGAGTACTGTATTCATCGCATACCAGTAATAACTAATAAATGAATGATTGAACAACATGCAGTATGGCCTACAGTATCGTTTCGTAGAAATTACCTTTAAAACTACTACTTTCATTTCACCAATGTGCATTGTGCAATCGAGCATCGTATTATCTAAAGTGCGTTGAAAGCAATTCATCGATTGAACAACATGCAGTATGGGCTACAGTATCGTTTCGTAGAAATTACCTCTAAAACTACTATCATTTAACCAATATGCATTGTGCAATCGAGGATCGTATTATCGAAAGTGCGTTGAAAGCAATTCATCATCTCGTATGATGTACACTTTTGATTAGTATGTACAGATTGCTACTATAGTATACAGTACATATATACAGTGTACTTACTGTTCCATAAAAAAAAATGTTGTGCCTTTCTAAACACCATAAATCCATTCATCAATTGTACACATACTGTACAGCAGTAGCAACCTGCATTTATACTAGTACATGTATATAGAAAAATATACAAAAATTTTATAGAATACCTATTTACAGTTGATACAAAATGAATTGAAAGCATTAACCTTTGTCGTTGCTTTAAAATTTCATCATATGACTATACTCGTCATTTTATGATATGAAATTACAACATAAACATGGCATAACTCGCTACGTGTCATAGGGTGAATCGCCATACCAATGTTGCTCAATTGACTTAATTTAGGTATTAAAAGGAAATGAAAGTGCTATTGGCAGATTATATCTAATTAACATTAATTAATAAATAATAGGCTATACTTCAAGAGCAAAATTGCTTCAAAGATCATTAGACAGCGCACATGGATCCCAAGAAACGCAAAGCGGCTATCAAATATATAATATATACTATCCATTTTAATATATTTTTGTATTCGACTGCCTATTGGATACAGACAGGAGTATTACCGGTAATTCTTATACTGTACAGTCTTTTATATGAACGGGCGTAGAATAGAAGAAATGAAAAAAGTTTCACCTAAACTAGGCCTTCAAATAATCATGGTAGCGTCATAACTGATCATTTTAACGCAATATCTTTTTACAGTTTCTATCTAAGAAATTACAGGTTAATCTTGTCACCTTTGGGTACCTTCAGACCACATTTTCGGTCATTCAACTGATTGGAGGGCCAATCTATGGTCGTTATGGCGATTTAGTTGGTACTAGAGCTGCTCTGATGATCGCTTTTATCGGAGCTGCTTTTACTTACGGCTTGCTTGGTCTTGCGTATTCAATCCCGCTCTTATTTCTTTCCAGATTACCATCTATCTTTTTGCATGCTATGCATGGTTAGAAACTTCGAGTTGACAGGATTGCTTATAACTAATGCAACACTTTACTATATCTTTCGATTAATTTAACAAGTGTCAATGTAATTAGTAATTCGTTTGAGGATAGGATATAATAATACAATTGATTGACCTTAATTGTACTAACCTATGCAATGACAAAAAATTGTTCTTATAGGAGCTCAGATGGTTATATCGGATTGCTCCAGCGGCGATGGTAAATTCTTAGTACACAATCATGACATTGATGACAGTTTTTTATTGAAACATTTGTAGTATGGCTATTTTCTATCACTTAATTATAGCGTAAATGTAAAGGAGGATTAGTCTGTTTATTTCCATTACACTTTTTTACTATCTTATTTTATAGTCTGTATTCCCCGATTAGGTCACTAAAATGTATTGTACGTAACGTTTTTCAACTAGAACGTGCTGGAGCTCTCGGTAAATTAGGTTTGTCCTATGGCTTAGGAATGATACTAGGTCCAATGGTTGGCGGAGTGATCACGAGGCGCTTTAATGAACAGTCTGCCGCTTTCGTTGCTTGCTTTCTTTCAGTAGTAAGCGTAGCTTCGATCTTCCTTGTGATACCTGAAAAAACTAAGACACTAGCAACTTCAGCACCGGAGACATCCGGTATTTATAATTCTACTGTACTTATGCTGACAAATGACGCTAAATTTTTGCCCTTTTTGCCGCATCTCAAATTCGGTTACTATTAATATGAAATTATTCCGTCTAAACTATCATTTTCAGTAGAGAGCGAGAGCAAAGATAGTTTATTGAACATTTCGAAACTTATTGAGCTTCTAAAGCTCCCAGGAATTGGCTTCTTAATGATAATTAAACTTGCGTTCGGCTTTCCGCTTGGCATTTTCAATTCGCTATTCTCCCTGGTGGCTATAGATGAGTTTGGATTAAATCCAGAACAGAACGGATTAATTCTCTCTTTTACCGGACTTTTAGGCATGGTAAGGCCAATGAAATCAATTTTACAATCTTTTATATATAGTTGAATACAGCTCAACGCTGAAAGAATCACTTTTATAGTCAGAAATTCTTGAAAATGAATTTAATTCTGGTTGCTTTACAGCTAGTTCAAGGCTTTTTAATTGAAATGCTAACCAAACGATACGACGATAAGAAAATACTATTTGGCTGTGTTGTTGTACAATCCATAGTTTATTTGTCAATGGTAAGATCTACTTTTGTGTAGCTATAGCCTATAAATGGGATAATTAATTATAAACTCAGATTGATTGTATCGGCAAGATGTAGTTGACCGATTGGCTTAAACATTTTACCAATAACTGGGATAAACAGTAGTTGATTGATAATATAGAATACCTATGATTGATAGGATTTTAACCGTTTTGGACGAATTTTAATTTTGTAAAATGTCTTCATTTTTTTTATTATCTTAGTCATACTTCGTAAGCAGTATTATTGGATTATGTTTGGTAATCGTTCCTCAAGTCATTGTATCTAGCATAGCCAACGTCATCTTTAGTAGCACTCTAACAAAATCTGTACCTGCTGCTGATAATGGGGCTATGCTGGGTCTGAGTTATAGCACAGATGCATTTGTAAATGCTATAGCTCCTTTGATTGGAAGTTATCTGCTGTCGTCTTTTGGTTGGTTTTCAATCGGCCTATTCGGATTTGGTATTTACTCTATAACGATTATATCCTGGACACTTTTTAGCCAACCATGAACGCAATTTTAGCGACTATTAAATAAATTAGTTTTAAATTATGTTCAAAAATGTCTTATTTTTATCATGGCTAAGCGTATCATTGACCTCGATGTATTGCAATGACTGATGGAATAATTTGTAGCCGTAAATTAATTACTGTTTACTGTGTATAATGTAGTGAGTTGGTGTTTGATTGACTTCCAGTATAGACGGTAGATTAAGTTGGTAAGTTGTTCATTAATGAACCCGTTGCGAATGGTAAAGATATACTCGTATAAGTATAGCATGGTGGTAAATTTATTTAACTCATTGGTAGATGCATCTAATCAAGACGAGTATCCCGTCTGCAAATAATACAGAAAGGTTTCTTTCTGCATGTTGATACCTTTTCTACTAAAAAAAGGTACCATCGTCAAGACGGTATAATAGTAATAATAAATCAATACTATTTATATATATTATATATTATAATCGCTTTGGTCTCTGTCACGTTGTTGGAGTATTTTTGCTACTGCGCACAGTTGCATACTGTGGAACACATGTAGTCAATACAATAATATACTGTACTGTAGATAGCAGTACTGTGTACTGTACTGTGAGCGTTTTGTACAGTACAGTACAGTATGGGACTTTCTCGTGCTGTACAGTATTTTGTACACTGGATGTACGGTACATTGTACAGTATTCGTTTTCGGTACTGCCCCCGCCGATTAAACAATCAACAATAGGATTGTATGGAGCACTGGTGTCCAGTTCCACTATACAGTACAGTACTGTACACGGCAATACAGTATAGTACTAGGAGTAGGGCATGATGACTGCAAGAAAATAGTACAGTACTGTGGTGATGAAGATAGCTAGATGCAAGAGTACGATGCCACAAAGTACTGCAGCTAATTTGTATTACTTGTTGTATATTTCCATATTCAAGAGTAGAAGAAGAAGGGCTTCTTTCGTGCGCTAAAAGGATAAAGCAGATTTTACAGTGTACAGTGCTTTGCTGTGCTACAGTACAGTACTGTACAGGATGAGTCAGACTGTAGTATTTTTTCTGGTCGGTGTACGTACTGTAGAGTGTAGACTACACTAACACCTCCAAGCGCTCTATTGTGTACATACGGTCGGGCGACGGGACGGACTGCAACGAGTACGTCACCGATCGGGCATGACCAAGTCGAAAGTCTCCAATCATCAAGGTGCTAATACGAATAATAAAAGTCCGTTCCATTACCGTATTTACGACTTGCCAGATGCGATATTCTCGGTAAAGACGGCCACTTATTATTAATCACGGTAGTCAATAGTTGGAACCTACTCTATTGTACGTCCAAATTGGGAACAATATTGGTGTTGAAATTGACCAACTCAATCTTCTTGTCACTAACATAGGAAGCGGGTAAGTGATACCACTTGATTGATTATAATTATAGTTGGAATGCTTTCACCAATTGAAAACATGGGTGATAGCTTTTTCTGTAGTCTACAGTCAATCTTTTCTAGCGCGTAGGACTGTACAGTAGTTTTTCTGCAATCTGTTCACTTTCGCCCTGTCAACATCAACTACATGATTGAATTTTGATCCAGTTTGCTGCTTGCATTGATTTTTTGTCTTGGTAACACCAGTACAATTCAACACTAATTTACCATTTATCGTCAAGGGGTAAGCTATAGTTATCGTATTGGTTGAAAAATTGAAATGTCTCGCGCAGCGGTATCGAATCATCGATGCTTTAAACACTAGAAGGAATATCCAAAAGTAGGGGAGGGACTGCTGCGAGACGCAGTCGGCCTATGTAGTGTCGCTGAGAAGATATATTATTCAACGTATTAGTACCAATGACTCCAGCGTTTCGCTAGCCCTCTGTACACCACGGTAATCCTATTGTACAACTACTCTACTGGATCTGTATGATAGGACCGACAGTAGTCGATGACTGCAAGGAAAAATGAGACCAAACGCTTTAACGTTGTTAGTCATGCTATTGGATTTAGGGGGGCATGGACGGCCCTACAGGCTTCTATTTCTACATTCTACAAGTAGTAAATGTCTTCTCCAAAATTGAAACTCTTCTTTTGAATGTAGTTACTACACAAATGTTGCGACGGTCTACTTTGCGTGTCGGCAACCCTGTTTGCATGTTTTATTGTTTATCAACGACAATGCTGTACTTGAGTGGCCGAGAAGAAAAGTTGTCCTTGAGGATCGCTTCGTTGCAACGAAAAATGGACGTATTGCTGTAGAAGAAGCGTTCAAGCAGTTGTTCATGTTTATCACAACCATATCAATTCAATTTACAGTACGCATCATCCGTAGATATCTTCCATTTTATTACCATCAAATATACTTCAATACCAAGTATTGCAATGACCCAAGGAATTCAAATTCTCATGAGGTTCTAGCAATCATTAGATGCAAGTGAATTCTTTTTGCTCTCTTCCTACTTCTGATTCTATAGTTATTGAGAGAGTAAAGATATCTTTGGATATATCTTTACATGATACAATATTGGCGTGTATCGTCTCCTTGAATATTCTGACACTCTGTGACACGTAACTGACACGAGAATGTAGACATGACAAATAGAAATACAGCCACGATTCTCCCGATCAACTCCAAATTTAGCTATTTGAAGTGGCCAAGCCTTATAACATTCAAATTGAATTCATAGTCATCATCAGTATCATCACCCTATTGTAGATGCATGCTGTAATGAGTTGGTCAAGAATGAAGATCCTTTTGATGATATTAGGATGGTTGTAAGCGCAGTATGGATTGTTGGAAATCACCTGATTCTGATGCATCTCGAGCTCCTTGACTCTACTACACAGTACACAGTATCAATTAGGCAGTAAAAAAAATGAAAAATTTCAACTGCTGGCGTCAATACGTGTGTATCCTGTTGTAACCAATAACAGAGTATAGTGCGTTATAAAGTCGTCAACGAGGCAAATTAGCCGCCCGTTCTCCGACATTGAAAAAAATTATTTACCGAAAACCGTTGATGACGACGACTAACGAATAACAACTGCTGTACCGACAATCTGATCACCGTTAGTACAGTACTGGAGATACTGCATTGGCCTGGACTGGACAGACGTTACAGTGAGTAATGTGTCAGTAAGCAGTCAACACCAGTCGTACGGACGCTCGGACAACTTCGCCCGTGTAAAGTTCAATATTTTCCATATCGTCAATTCGAAATATGGGGGGGGGGGACTAGTTATGAAGACTACCCTTTCACAAAGTGAGCGAACTGAAAGATCTTTTAATAACAACATGGACAGTATCAAAGACGTTGGTTTTGTTTTTACCTACATTGTGATGGAAAAGATCAGTAGAAAGGCGTAAAACAACTACGTAACTAATATAGCTCGAAATGCATCGTTTGTTATGCAATATGCAATACGATGCTCTACTATGCCCGTAGGCATAAAAGCTATAGTCTGATTGCATTTTTTTGAATTAGGCAGTTACAATTTATTATAGTTTTGTTACAATCCTAATGTTGTGTTGTCTGTGATTATAAAACCCATAAGCCAGTCACTCATGAGAAGAAATACTAATATACCAATTGGTATGTATTAACAATCTCTTTTCTTCTTTTCTAGCATTGCCGTATGTCTATCCTGATCAAAGGTTGAAGCATTTATGGTTCAGTTATAAGCTGACATACCTATGAAATAGCTTCAGTCTCCGTACTAACCTTAAATACTGGAAAGCATATTTCACTTATGTTTACTTTCAATCTAAAAGGACGATTTAATTTTACAGGTATACCCTAATTTTACCTCTAGTCTCATTGACAAATAGAAATTGGATTATTGCGCATGCATTGAGAATATAGTTTCATTGCTTGCTTTAGCTGAGCAGTATCGCACTTAATGAGCCACTTGATAGATACTTTCATAATGACTGTTCAATTTTTGATATAGAATATATTTTAAATAATGAGCACAATGAAAGGAACTACTGATGTTAGAAAACGTGGATACCTAAAAAAGATCAAGGTAAAAACGTAAATCAATTTTTTTCATTTTATTGTCATCTTCTTTGCAAGAATTTATAATCGATATGTAGCAGTCAATCCATAATTCTAGTTACATTTTGATCCCATATTATTACTGACAGTGGTGCAGGTTATCATCTGTTAAAGGCGTCCATGCTTTTATTTAGTGAACATTGCTGGCAAATTGAATTAAAAATTTGTATAAAAATATCACAGCTTCTATATCACATATCGGCATCATGTAGCAGCGTGTTAATGATATAACACGTAGAAAAGAAAACAAAACTACAATCTTACATTATTTTTGATTAAATTCCTTCAAGTTGTTTCATACACCACAGATCGTTGCGTGATACCATAGAGTGTACAATGCATAATAATAACTGTGCAATTTTTGAAATTGGCAATTCTTTGTATATTTTCAACACAGAATTCAAGGAAACGCTATTACGTATTGCGTCTTGATTCTGAAGCCGGTCCAGGTCGATTAGAATGTTACGATAATGAGAAAAAGTTTAATCAAAATGGACAACCACGGAGTGTTATTCAGTTGTCAGATTGTCATAAAGTTACGGAAATATCGAACGATAAGCATCAGTACTGCTTAGGATTTTACACCAATGACGATTGCTACGGCTTATACGCTGAATCTGCAGAAGAATTGGAAAGTTGGCGAGTGGCTGCTGAAGAAGTGAAAAATCCTAAACACCATAAATCAAGAAGTAATGGTTAGTAGAGCCTATATGTTTAAATCTGAGCCATTGATATGTATGGTATCTGTATAATGTAAGAATATGATGTTGCAACGCAAGATTAAACTAGAGTAGAAAATGCTTAGAAATAGCTGATAAAAATGTCTCTCAATACTGTTTATTTAGATTTTAAATTGAGCGATTTTACGCATGAAATAGGACAGAAATCGTTTCACTCATAAATATAATAATCTATCACCTCTGATTTCTAATATAGAAAATATTTGGCAAGTAACCCTCTCAGACCGTGGTATTGCAAAATCCAAGCAATTAGCCGGTGCTTACAACTTGGAATTATTACCAATGGAAATGAAGTTATGCCGTTTGGGATCTGCCAATACGAAACAACCCTTAATTTTGAAATATTCATCAATTCGACGCTGCGGACACTCCGATAGCTATTTCTTTATAGAAACTGGTCGTTCATCATGTATTGGTCCTGGCGAGTTATGGATGGACGTTGATGACAAGGCTATTGCAGAATTAATTCATGAAAAGGCTTTAGCGTAAGATAACTTCAAGCGGCAATATCTATTTGAAAGTTTTATTTTTAATCTATAATTTCTCAAATGCATGACTTTTATTTGATAATAGTGTTATGCGGACTAGTAAAACTGAGAAACCAGACTCATCTCGTGTAGAAGATAGTGACGGCAAATCAAGTGCAAAAGAAAATCGTTCGCGATCCAGTACAATGCCATCGCGACCAAGAAGGCCCCAAGCTACTGATGATACGAAATTAAATGTACTCCCTTCGATTACTACAACGAATGAGATACCGGAAAATTTTCCTAGTGATGGGACTAATAAAAAATCTCCAAAGCGTTTTTCTTTTTCACATTTATTTGCTCATACTAGGTCCAAGTCGGCTAGTAGCGCAAACCTCCCGGACGATCAAGGTCGGTCCCGAACATATTCCTCTATAACAAAATTTGATCGTCCTCCAAAGAGTCATACTGCACATGGTCAGAACATGTCGAGAAGCTCTTCCGAAGCTAGTGAAATATCGCCAGCTACTGATTCTGTCGTTACCGCAAGTCCAAGATTACATTCTATGGATAAGAAAGGTACTAATCTAGATCCAGTAACAGAGCGGGTATCCAAGGGCTCCAAAATTAAAGCGAAGACTGAAGCACCCAATTATGTAAACACTGCTCCTATTAGTATGCAGACAACTAAAAGTGCTGCTACCTCTGACTATGTCAACGTCGATTTAAAAAAGTCGGGTAGTTCTACGAACGCTGATTACATGAATATGCAAAGTTCAGGGTCCCATTCCACCCAATCTAAAGCTAAAAGTGGATCAGACGTGAGTTCAAGCAAATCACCTGATTACGTTAATATAGACCTGGGAAAAAGTAGTAAAAGTAGTAGCAGCAATAAATCAAGCGATTATGTTAATGTAAAACCCGGAAAACAAAAACTGAAAGCAAGCAAATCTAGTGACTATGTTAATATGGAGCCTGGTAAAATGCATGCGTCAGCAGACTATGTAAATATGGAACCTGGTAAAATGCATGCGTCAGCAGACTATGTAAATATGAAACCTGGTAAAATGCATGCGTCAGCAGACTATGTGAATATGGAACCGACAAAAAATAAAGCTAGTAATTTCAAAAAGGGTGATGCTAGCAAAAGATTAACAACTAGCACTAGTGATTATGTCAATATGGAACCGAGAAAAGTCGTAAGTCAATCGTCCAGTGATTATGTTAATATGGAGCCTGTCAAAAAGTCTTCGAGTGTTGGCGATTATATGAATATGATGCCCGGCCAGGGAAATAAATACAGTAGTGTAGATAAAGGGAAGTCATTAAAGGACTGCAAACAAGCCAAGCTACAGTCGACATCGTCTAGTGGCTCTAATTCTGGAGATTACATGAACATGCAACGTGGTGTAGCTCAAAGCAAGGACAGTAATTATGTTGAAATGCAACCTGGTCAGGCCAGTGGCGGAGATTATGTGACGATGCAGGCTGGGAAAGATACCAATAATAATAAGCCGTCTGATTATATTGACATAGATATTTCAAAGGAATCAATGGGAGATTATATGAATATGGATTCTACTAGTAAAAGAAGCGATTCTGGTGGTAAAAAAGAATTTGTAGATTACATTGAAACTAATACCGATAGCGATGCTAGAAGTAGAAGTAGTAGTGATAATAACAATGGCTCAACAAATACACGCTCTACTAATAGCAATAACACTTCAGCTGTTGGTCCTAGCTCGGTACGTGTATCACGCAGTGATGAACATTTTGGCTCAAGCAAAAGCGAGTCTAAAACAAAAGGCACTACTAAAAAAGGCGGTAGTGTTCATGTTACAAAGTCGAATGAATCATCATCCTATGTTAATATGGAAGCAGAATCTCCTAATATAACTATTCAACGATCCAGCGATGTGAAAGGCGTGCAATATGTCGATGTTGAACATAACAAGATGCCCAGACCGAGTAAAAGTGAAAAGATATCAGGGGGACGTTTAAGCAGTGCTAGGAGTCCATCCAAAGTAGCTCCTCCATTTATGCAGCGTAATGTTCCCATGTCGTCTTCTGTTGCAAGATCTAGAAAGCCAGCTAAGGTAGAAGAAAAAGCATACACAGAGATTGATTTTACAAAATCGAAAGGCTTGGCTGAAACTAAGGAAAAAGGTCGTTAATTATAATTGGGTTGCGATTGTTTCGATGGAAATTATTATTATTATTATTATTGAGGTATGCTCCCAAGAAAGCGCCTAATGCAAGACGCAAGCTGACTTATGTGCAAGACAAGCTTGTTATTTTTCCACTGTCGCATCTGCTTAATGTTGATAACAATGTACAATTCTTCTGCTCCTTTTCAATTTAAATTATGAAACTAACGCAAGATTATTTTATGGTCATTATCAAGATAGAAAGGTTGTGTAGCTTGGAGGTTCATACATCTATTAGTTGGTACAGTATTTCTAACATTAGTATTGACAACTAGCGTAGTATATATGCATGTTACGGTGTATCGTGGTCGGATACATAGCCTCTCCAGTAATTTATGGGTGTAGATCTGAGCATTCCTTTATACGAGTACTACTTTTACGTTAGTGATTTAATTGAGCTTTAAAATCGACTTGTTATGTAAAAATTGTCTATCTCTATGCTAATGTATATATATAATATATATATATAAGGATACATCTATACATATCTATGAATTTTTCTGACTATAATTATTATAGAAATTGTATATTGATTTCTCTTCCCATTTAATGAACACCAAGAAGGTAATATTGACCTACAATTTTAACATTTAGTTTGTATAAAATTTTGGCATTTCAATTTATGTATCTGATTGCTATCGGATCGATTAATTATAGATAGAGCCCCGCCACTATATTGTTTGGCCTGAGACTATTTCTTATGTAAAAATGGACTGTTAGTTTATTTCCATTTTGTTGAAAGTTTGGAAGAAAGTTGAAAATTAATGTAATTTAAAGATAGTACAATATTGTTTGTAATGAGCCTAATAGCTGGCTGGCTCTTTATAGTATTTCTCGCTGAAGATAGTCATATGGATTGCCTTTGAGCTAGATTGTTGTTTTATGTGTATGTTGTAGCTTTCATTAAAGTCGCTAACACTACTGATGTAGACGATAATAACAGAGATATAAATGATTCTACATTTGTAAGGTGTAAAATGTTATGGTAGAGTTGATAAGTTTGGTGCTGTTGACTGCCATGGTAAAGAATATTATTAAAGCACTTTTGAGTGATTATGATGCAGCGCGTGTTTTATTTTATTTATTTTAAAAAGATTGAATGGTTGTCATGGAGGGACGGAAAGCATACGCGTAAGTATTTTGGGCTACATCTCGACAATTTTTTCCTTTCGTTGTTGGAGATTTGCGGCACTTTGTCAAAGCGTTGACTGTAAACTATGTGCACTAAAGTGTAGAAATAAATATACACTATCTATATGGGAGGTTGGAATTTGTGTCTTGATCATTTTTTGCCATCTTCTGCGTACAAGTGCACTACTACTGTACAAGAAAGCCATTTTCATGGATGGTACGGTATGGTACGGTTCGGTACGGTACAGTACATGACATGCCATGAAACAGACTGAGTGTGTCGGTCTCATACTGCATTCTACTATACCAGAAACTTGTAGGTAATACTATGAGTCTTGGAGTCATGACTGTGCCCGTATACAACCATTGCTGGCACGATCACGTGCCACCAACGAGTCCGTTCCGTTACAACGTACCGCACCCCAAATGGTCTGGAAGACTTGAGTATAGTGTCGGATACATAGCGTGTAGTCGTAGTAAACTTAGTGGATAAGATCCAAGGCACACTAGTGTACTCGGACAGAGGTCAAGCAATCATCTCGGTCCGAAACGGGACGGGACTGGTAGGCAAACTGGTCCGCATGTTACGGACTGCGGCCGGACTGATGTTAGACATCAAGAATCAAGTACAAGCGATGACAACGCAACTGGGACAGGACTCGCAAGAGTCGGAAAAGAAGAAATTAAAACTGGACATCGATCATCATTTGCTCAATTTTTCATCATGGAACAAAAGTTAGTCCTCATCCTAGGAGCTATTCAAACGATTACAGGCATTGTTAGTATGATCTTGGGTGTAGTAACACTGTTTAAAGCTACAAGCAATTCAATCACTTATATTAGTGCACCGATATGGATGGGATTACTGGTAAGTGGAGAGTGGAGCAAAGCATCCTTTACAAGATGGAGACCATTGCATTCTTGTAGTCTATGCAGTGAGAAAATTCTCATCTTGTCATCATCAGTAGTCATCCATTTGAATGATGACAGTCTATCTTACTTTGTATTGGAAAGAGGATAGCATAGAATGGTTGTAGTAGGGTATACTGTAGGATAGCATGGGTAGAAGGTTCACCAGAGGTATTCTTCTATGTGTCATCAACACTCGTCGATGGCGCTATGCTGTTGCCTGTTGTTAGCAACGGCTTGAATTTGTCTTTCCATCGACTTTGATGAGGATCTCATGTAAAGACTAGATACTAGTAGATCCAGTACACCACACAGAGAATTGTTTTCTATCGTTCAATAACCTATTCCTAAATAAGCATAACCGGATGATTTTAAATCAAGCCTAAATGGACGCCATTCCACGATAGTGCTATTCCATCATGTCGCCAACTGCAGTGGAATACTGTGTGGAATAACCGATGATGCATCTTATCGATTAGCCTACTACTTTCTATCCTTTATCCTATGATTTTCAAAATGAAGCCACTCTACATCGATTGTACCTTACTGTGCTGTATGAACATTCTTATTATTTCTATACTTAATTGCCTGATAGATGTTACTTATTTGTATTTACTTACGTCTTGATGTATTTACCTAATCTACCGTAAGACGCACCACTGCGATGAATATTGGAGCATGAAGATCCAATTGAGTGCTACAGCCTTGCAAAATCGTCCATATTGCAATACTGTACGATATGTTGATGATCAATACTTGACTATGCTTTAGTTAA